CAAAAAAACCCGACCGGGTATTTTTGGTCCACGATCGGGGCCCCCTTTGTTTCTCGGGGTGAAAAAAGGGAAATACCCGACCTCGTCCCAAAAATACCCGACCGGGTATTTTTTATTCCAGCCCGGGGATTCTCAAGGCCTTGAACGCAGCGTTTTCCAAAAATACCCGACCTCGTCCCAAAATTACCCGACCGGGTATTTTTGGTTCGAGGGCGGGGATTTTGCAGCGTTTCCCAAAAATACCCGACCTTGACCCAACTTTACCCGACCGGGTATTTTTGGCTCAAGGTCGGGTATATTATTGCACTCGATACGCTGCGTTTAAAACCCCGGTCGTGGGTTCAAAAATACCCGATCGGGGATTTTTGCTATTTAAAGCAAACCCCCGGTCAGTTTCTCTCTCTACCCTCATTTTCCAAAAATTTCCCTCTCTCTTCCTCTCAAATCCTCTCCCCTCTCTCCTCTGCCGCCGCCTCCGGCCGCCGCCGGTCGTCGCCGGTCACTTTCCGGCGACCCTCCGGCGACTTTCCGGCCATTTTCCGGCGAGCCTCCCGGACAACTTTTTGGCTCCCTCTGCGTCCCTCACCCAGTCCTAGCTACAGTTCTACTTGCGTGTCCAGGTGTGTTTCTTATTAATTACTCTTTTTCTGGAGAATCGAACTGTAGATTGTAGGACCGAGAACTGTGTTTGCATGCCTGATTTAGAGTAGGGTGAGGGATGTTTTGATTATGCATGGATTTATATGTGGTATGTGTGCTGCCCGTGTACTTAATGTGGATGCTTCTGTGGTCTTGCCTTGATTCCGGTTGAGTTGCTTGCGATTCGACCGGCTGTGCCTATAACTGTTAGCCTAGGTGATCCTTGAGTGTGGGGGAAGTGATGAACCCATGCTGCTGGTCCTGACAAAATTTTTCTTGGCTCCACCTTTGGTTTGTTAATTTTGCAGGACCATGTCCCTCGACTATCCCTTTGTGCAGGGTCTGCGCCTGCACCCGGATTACGCGGACCAGTTCCGCAAGGTGATTCGGGGGAAACTAGAGCGCCACCACCATCTTGAGTGGGCCATGTTCGAGCAGCTCCACTGCATGCCGGACATCACCGCGATTGGCGGACGCTGCTGACTATAGACGAGCCCACCTTCACTGAGCTGGTGTGGGAGTTCTACACCACATTCCAGTACGATAACAGGGCAGCCTGGGACTCATATGTAGTGAAGTTCAGGCTGGGCGGATACCCCCGGGAGCTGACCATTGACGGGTTGGCCCATGCTTTGGGGATCGAGTACAACCCTTTCGACAGCCACGAGGTGGAGGTTGCACACCCGACGGACTGGAACCAGGATGAGTTCTACCGCAAGATAGCCCGCCGCGACTATGCCCAGGACTTCTTCGACCCTGGCCAGACATATGTTCGCTCTCTCAAGCCGGCGTGGCACATCCTGAACCTGCTCATCACCCGCTCCATCGTCCCCAACGTCACCGGCTCGCACAAGATCCCGAAGCGGGTGCTCTATGCTATGTATTCGATGAGGGACCCGGAGCATATGTTGCATTTGGGTTCTTTCGTGGCCACCACCTTCTCCCGGTGCCACAGGAAGCCCAAACATCTCTACTGTGGTCCCCTGATCACTCGTGTGGCGCGCCATTTCAACATCAGGTTCCAGGGACTCCGTGATTCTTCTGCACAGGGCGGCTCCACCCCCCTCAGCCGGGATGTGCTCCACAATGCACTCCTCCTGACCACTGACGGCACCCGCACTTGGGTCGATGGGCTTTCCCTGCCTCCTGAGGAGGTTTTTGATCTCGATGAAGACGAGGAGGATGCTGACTACTCCGGTGAGGAGGAGGATGAGGATGATGATGATGATGACGGGGGCCAAAGTTTCACTACTAGATAACAAGAATTCACCGAGTAGTCATCAAATCTAGGACCCGGGTTGACAATAAAACCCAAACCCGCTATACTACGCTTTAGGAAGTGGTTATACTTGGCCATTTTCTAGAGTGATAGTAGGAGTGAGTCAGTACCCCCAAACCTGAACCCGCCCCAACCCGTTCAACAAGACACCGGGTTTAAACCCGAACTCGGCCTAAACCTGGTCAACACATATTTTACCCGCGCTGACCGGGTTGGGTCGGGTCGGGTACCCACGGGTCCGGGGTTCACTGTCATCCCTATCACCGGTCACAACCATCAATAGTTTTACACTCAGCAAACTTGCATCATCGAGGTACGACTCATAAAGTGGATTCCAATTGACAAAAAAGTCGTACCTCTAATATGTTAAAGTCGGTCATCGCCCTATAGTGCACAAAACTTATGTTAATTCCCTCTAAAACCTAAATCTAAATTCAGTTCACCTAGTAAATCTTATCTAACTAAGTAAAGAACTTTGATGAAAAACTATAATCAAAGACATACATCGTTTGCCCAAACTGCATCGGCCCGGTGTTAACCATGTGCCCAAATAAGTTCTTAAATTAATCGGAGCTGGATTGATTGTCGCATCTGGTCGTCTCATTGGATAGGTATCCATAATCTTTGGAGAAGAAAATAAAAAAAAAACAAATTAATTTTAATAAAGTTAAAAAAACTACCGTCGGCGAGCAACATTCGCAGCTGGCAAGCAAATAGTTGTCGTCAGCGAGTCGTGCCCTCGATCCCTTCACCCTCGCCCGGCTTCCTCGTCTTCACTGGAAGCGTGATCAGAGTACGACATTTGTCATCGTCGCTGCCGCCATCCGCCTCCTTCATCTCTGCCGCGCTTCGTCGCCTACGTGCCGCCGCCGATTTTGTCGCCTACATGACCGTCGTCGAGAGTAGAGGGAGAGAGAATAAGGTCTGGTGGTGGGTAAGGCTGGAGGTAGACAAAGAGAAGATATGCCAATCACGTGCAGACCCAAACATGTTTATACTCATCCGGGGTATTTTCGCGCGAGCTGAGCTAAATTATTTAGGTTTATCTAAGCTCGCGCTGAACCTCCCCAGCTGAGCATAAACCTTTTCAATTTCGCTCAACTCGTTCTCAATCGCACTAGCTGGACTAAATATAGTTACTTTAGCTTAGCTCGTGCGTGTACGCGCATTTTCGTCTTCCAAAATCCAAACACATAAAATTTGTAAATACTTCCCTGTGAGGATACTTACAAGAGTAAGAAATTAGACTAATTCAGATCAAAGTGACCTAACTAGGTTTATGGTACCAATTTTGAGATGCTTTCTTTAAGCTATATAGTTAATTTTTAATGCATAAGTACTTTGGGAAAACAATCACTCAATATTCGCTTAGCTCTATCTAATAAAAATCAGGGGCATCTTCGTATCACCCTGCGATTATCACCCACACCTGTATGTGCTGCTTTCTAGTCTTCTCCACCTAAAATGATAATGGTTGTTGGTGTCCGCTCATAGCTTGTTGTTCTTTAGATTTTTAATGCTCCTAATGTTTTTGGGCACCGACAATTATATACCTGCTAATCCGATGCCCATAGCTGACATCAAACACAATCTTCCAATCACGAGACGCTTATGACCTCCCCCTCTATGCCTTGCGATATATATCACAGAAGAAAAGTAGTGCTTTGTTGGGGTATCAAATTCTTGTAGAAAAAGCCTTTGATGGTGCATATCGTAGTTCCAGAAGCGGTACGACCACCTCATCCCTCTATATCGCCCATAGTTTAAAGCAGAACTTACAAGCTTCTTCCATTTGTGGTGCTGGTGCATAGGTAGGTTGTGCCGGTGGAATGGTGGGCCACTTTTGCTTTCTTAGTGGAATCTATTTTGAGAGTCCCAACACTTCCATCAACCGAACGAATGAAGCGGAGCGAAGTGAACCTATTAGGAAGAACTCCAATGGGAGTAGAAGGGTGATAACATCAACAAAGAGAGATCTTTCAACGTATTCTCTTATGATATTTGTTTATAGTACTGGATAGGGGTGGGCAATGGGCGAATCGGTTGAGTTTTGACCATAAAATTAATCCACCCACACGTCAACAAATTGAAAAAATTTCACCCACCATCCACCCACACTTATATTGGGTTGGATCGGGCGGATGACGGATGATGCGGGTGGATCGTCGGGTTAACCCACAAATCAACACAAATGAAATGAAGTTGCATTTCTTACCCAAGAAAGTTAATGTATTCGGATAGATACCTACTTCAGAAGGCAAATATACCAATTTTAGAAATTAACACAGACAAATTACATGTAACTTAACCACCCTATATGCTGCAATATTCCAATTGTACCACCTAGCCTTCCCCAAGCTCTGTCCAATCATCGAAGGGATGGCCATGGAACTCTCTACTAGGAAGAAGCGACGGCATTGCTCAGCTTCATAGTCAGTCGCAGGTCTGCTTTCACAACCAACCAAGTGAGGGAGAGTTGCGTTTCAGCACTGTGATCCAGTAAGGCTGCTGCTGCAATTTTCTGTTATGAAGCTCAATAGTGAGAACTTACCTCTAAGTTATAACAAATGAGAGGGGTGGAGGGGAAATTACCAAAGGGAAAGTATTCGAACATTTGGTTGGACAAAGGAAGGAGGAGATGAAATCAGGATGCTGGCCTAAGAATCACAAAGGAGTGCGATGGAGTCGAGTTTTGCGGGTAACCCGTACACCCACCCGCAAACCATCCACCCCCTGCGGGTTTGAAATTAGCCAGTTCGTGACCCGCCCGCATATATCGGTTTGGGTCATTTTGCGGGTGGATCGGGTCAAATCCGCGAATTATCCGCCCGCATACTCAGCCCTAGTACTGCATACATGATTTAGGGGGTTTCTTGATTCGGGATTCATGATAAAAAGTCTGATTATGATAGTACAATATTGGTGGTAATAATTATTATTTTTGCATAGGTAAATCACTAAAAAAAGTAGTCGGTGGGTCACGTGTGTAATTGGCTAATTGCAACATTAACATTTGAAAAAAGAAGAAAAGAAAGCCATCATTTTCGCACACGGTGTAAGTTAACACAGGCTTATCATCTGGTGATAACCTACACTCTCTAAGTGTACCTTAGCGTTCCCCACTTCTCCTCACCCAAAATCAGCGCTCTGCAGTCTCCAACTCTCCATCCTCCTCCTTTCTCTCTCTCATCTTCTATTCTCAGTTTCTCACCCCAAAACTCCCCCAATTGGACTCTTCAGAGTTCCCACTGCCTTCCCTTTCTCTCTCTTTCTCCTTCCCCACCAAAAAGCTTCTAGGGTTTCATTGACGCACCTAGCCATTCACTCTCCTTCCAGGACTCTCGCTTCTCAATGCCTGCTAATTGCTCCGGCTGGTCGCGATTTGGAAAACCTAGACAGTGCCGGCTTGGTCCATTCGGCGGCCGATTCTGTCTAGTCTTTCGATTAACCACTTCGCTCAAGCTCCATACTCCTTAACTCCCCAAAATTTGATTGGCGCACCCCGGTTCGGATTCAGGAATATGGCACCGAGTCGGAAAAGAGGAGTCAGCAGAGCTACAGCTGCCGCCCGTCGCCAGTGGAAAGTCGGCGATCTTGTCCTTGCTAAACTGAAAGGTTTCCCTGCCTGGCCTGCCACGGTATGTAATACCTGTTCATTCGTATACATTACTGTTCTTGTTTGCGGGGGCAGGGTGCTTGGTTTGTTATAAAGTGGAAGTCTTGGGATTTCGTCTGGGTTGGGGCTGCACGTTGAGTTACCATGTTGCTGTTCTTGAGCTTGGTCTCGCAGTTTGATTGGCCCTGAGAATTTTTGGGTGAACATTCTGTGGACACAACTGTTGTAGATGACTTGCCTACTATAACTCGTTTTGAAGTTTTGCGATTGCTTACTGGTAGTTCATATTTGTGTACTTGGGTAGTGTATGTTGCCCATTAAACGCCACTTTGGGGGGTTTGCTTTTTTTCTTATTGTAATTTAGTTGTGTAGGTTGCATTGCCAAGTTGTCCGGGTTTAGCATTGATGCACCTGCATCCTCTTATTGTGTATTTTGTGGATATGCTAGGCTTGCTTAACTAGTGCATTTCTGATTCTTGTACTTTCCGCATAAGCTTTCATTTGGTTGCTGAGTTGCTGTCTGTGTGTTGCCAGATCAGTGAGCCAGAGAAATGGGATCTCAAGTCGGATTGGAAGAAAGTCCTTGTCTACTTTTTCGGAACTCAGCAAATGTGAGTACGAATCTGTTTCTTCTTCTGTCTCGAAGCTTATGTAGTCTCTCCCCTATTACTACAGTTGCTACCTTAGTGAAATCATGCCATTGCTTGTTTCGTTGTACCTATTTTGGTAAAAAAAAAAAAAAAAAAATAGATCCTCCTTATACTCCCTTGGAAAGCTTTATCTGCCTGTTGCTTCAACTAATTCATATCTGAATTTACAGTGGATAATGAATTGAGTTTTTAACACTCAAGACTTTCCTATCAACTGTCTTCTTAGTCCCTGTATACTTTAGCTTGAAATCAGAGAGATATTTAGATCTGCCATTGGAGCTTGAAGCAAGCATACAAAGTGTTTAGGTAATTGGATGGTGCCTTATTTAAATTCTTCTTTTGTACATAGCCAACTATTGTCCAGTGAGGGTGTCAGGATCTTGGGGCTTGGACTTTCTGTCCATATTTTCTGTGTTGGTGTTCCTTCTGCCGCCATGGTTTGGGGTGCTATTTATTTAATGTTTCTTTTTCTTGCAATGTCTTACTATTGCATTTTAGGAGGAGAGAAGGGGGGTTGGGGGATTGGCCCTACATTGTTCTTTGCTGGTCTTTTACTCCTAAAAATTGTACCTTTCAACCCAGCATGAAATTTGCTGTGACTAACATTTCTTTTACTGTGTACCACTTGAATGACCAGTTATGCTCTTTGGTGAACGGTTTTGGAATATAGCGTGTGAGACTTGTACATACTTGTTATGTCTTCATTAGAGTTGCAACATGAATCCTTTACCTTGATTTAAATAAGATGTATAGATCCGGCATTGGTCAGCTTGAAAACAGTATCACAATGCATATTGGCCACAAATCACGTGGTTAGGCGACAGGACCTGATCTATATTCTAGTTTCCAGGGTAGCAGTGTAGTATGTTTCATGTTTTGCTTGCACCTTTTAGATTTAGAATTTCCTGTCCATAATTTCTTTGTTTTGGTGTCTTTTAGTGGCCATTTTGTGTGTGTGTGTTTTTTTTTTGGGGGGTGGGGATATTGTGAACCATTCTTTCATGTGGCTCTAGCTGAGTGATTTATATATTCTAGTATTCTTCCTCACATTTCTTGCTTTCTTTTGGTGTATCTTGTGGTTTCTGTGGTTATGTAGAGTAGTAGAAGATGGATGTCTTCAGGTCCCCTGTGAGGAACCTGGGTTGGAGGCTTGGTTGGATATGTTCTTTGACATTCCTTTTGTCTGACTGGTGCTTGTCAATGTTTGTTTGATCTGTTTTTTAGATTTTCCATGTATTTATTTTCCTCACAACTTCTGGTTTTCATGAACGTAGAGCTTTCTGCAATCCTGGTGATATTGAACCATTTACAGAAGAGAAAAAACAATCTCTTTTGACGAAACGGCAAGGGAAGAGTGCTGACTTTATTCGTGCTTTGGAGGAGATAATTGATAGTTTTGATAAGGCAAAGAAACAAGACCATGTTAATGATCTCAGCTCTAGTGAAGCATTTGCAATTGGTGGGAATTCTTTGGAATCATCCCAGAATGATATCAAAAGTCGGACCGCAGCTTCAGAGACAACTGTTACTTGCAGGGATGATCCTGCTCTTCCAGATGATGATGCTGCAGATGTGCCACTGTCGGGTTCCTTTGATGATAAAGAAGGGTTGCTTAAGCAATCTGTCAGTAATGTGGAAAAGCCTATTATAGCGACTTACACTTCAAGAAAAAGATCTGGAGGTTCTCGATCTAGGAAATGCGTTAGTCAAAAGAAAGTAGTATCGCCAGAAATGCCAAAAAGCTTGCCCCAGCTGCCTTCTGGAAGACTCCAAAAATCTGCACCATTGTCGCAGAGTTCCAGTGAAAGTGTAGGGGATTTACTAAGTGTTTCAGTTAGAGAAGGGTCAGTTCGAAGAACCAAGCGGATCAGGAAATCACTAGAGGCAGTGGAAGATGAAAATATGGATTTCCCTGCTCTTGTCTCAAATGGTAGTGTCGAGGATGATGTGTCGGAAATTGTTTGTGCTGATTCTGGTTCCGTCAGCTTACATGATGTAAACACTGTTGATAGTTGTTGTGAAGTAGAACAGTGTGAAGCTGCTGTTGAGCGTTTAGGGGGAGAAGCTCAGTTGGCTAAATGTCTTGATTTTCAGATAAAGGCTGTTGTAATTAGGAAGAAGAGGAAACTAAATAGAAAGAGGGCAACAAATGACGCAGCCGAACCAATTGCTCGGCCAGATACTGGGGCGAATTTTGAGGTTGGTGCAAATAATACTGGCCCAAATTTGCAACTTATGCCTGGAAATCAGAAAGAAACTACTGGTAAAGAAGTTGGAGATGAGCATCTGCCACTAGTTAAAAGAGCCAGAGTTAGGATGGGTGAAGTACCATCTTCCAGAGAGGAACATGGTACCTATCAGTCTGAAGGGAAGACCTTGAGTGATGGTCTTGTCATCAGTCAGGAGACACAGAATAGCATGTCACAGGCTGAAGAAAGAACCTCTGGAGAAATTGCACTTAATATGGGGAACCAGGTTTCCTCATCTGTGAATTCTGATGTTGAATTCCAGATCACTAAAGCAGTAAATGAAACCATGAATCATGTGTCACCATCCGAGAATAGTCAAATCCTTGAAGGTAACGTTCTTCTTTCAAGGGTGAAGGATAGCCAACCCTTTGGTCATCTGGCTGATGGTGAATCTGCCTTGCCTCCAAGCAAACGTCTTCATCGGGCCCTTGAGGCCATGTCTGCAAATGTCGCTGAAGAGACATCAACCCCCAAGACTTTTTTCACTTACAGTGCACCAAAGGATCTTGAAAATATGGAGACAAATGAACACAGCGAAGATTCTCTTGGCACTAGAGTTCATGGGTTATGTTTGAGCTCTGACGAGGCTTTGGAGGAAGGTACTAGATCTTCAATAAAGGCAGATTCTGATGAAAAAATTGAGGTTCCGACCAGCAGTGAAGCTTCCATGAATGAGGTGGCTGAGAACATTAACCATGGCAATGAACAAGATCTTGATAGACTGGGTCTTCAACCAAATTCCAATTATTCTGCTGTTCAAGTGCAAACTCCAGTAAATTTAATGCTTGATGCTGATAACCAACTTGCTGTTGTCGGCTCGATTCACACCCCACTGGACCAACAGTTGCTGCTTCTGGAAGATGGGGGGCCTGAAAGCCTTGAATCAAATGATATGAAAGTGGAAACTCCTGAGAAGGATCCAGAGAGTAGTATTCTCCATGCTGTTGAAGGTTCTGTAGGAAATGACCCAAAAGTGTTTCAGGTTACTGTTGATGCAAGTATATGTTATGATTCACACAAGTCTAAAACTGATGAGCATCAACAACCTTTTGAATGGTAATCATTAAAGTTCCTGTTAATTTTACCATGTATTTCATGTTTTTCTTTTTGACAAATACCATATATTTCATTTTACGGTTATCTGATAATTCTCCCTGATCAAAGTACTCTGTTTGTTTTAGTTCACATTGAAGTGTCAGTTTATCATAGTTTAGTTTGACTTTTCTGTCTTTGATTAACTTTATTCTGTTTAATCAGCCACAAACTTGGTAAAGATGATCAAATGCTGATGGAAGCTAGTGGCATAACTTTCTCTGATGACCACTGCTCTGACAAGGATGCCATGGGTTCTCAGCCAGCTACATTGCGAGCTGATGAAGAATCTCCTGCAGGGATGTCCCCAACAACTGCCTCTATGTGCCATGCGTCTACTTCGGAGAGTGCTAATTTCAATCAGAATAGTGGTGGTTCTAGTCCTAATACCAATTCAAACCAGAGGCGAGACTCTGGAACTACACTTACAGATGAGGAGAAGATTGATTCCGGAGCACTTCAAAGACCAACATCTGTTGGAAGATGTAGCAACTATGCAGAAGTACAAGCTGCATTGTCATCCTTCAAGGGAATGCTTGGATTGTTAACAAGGACGAAGGAGAGCATTTGTCGAGCAACTCACATTGCAATGGACTGCGCTAAGTTTGGTGCCTCGGAGAAGGTAGGTTCTGGTCACTGCAGGTTACTGCTAATCTTAACTGGTTTAATTGACTACCAAAATGAAATTTGAGCAAGTTATCCTTTTACTTATTTTACTTCTGGGAGTAGCACTTGCATGAGAAGTTATCTTACTTAGAAAGAGAATTTCTTCAGACAACATGCATAGGGAAGTTGGACATAGTAAAAATTATTACCTGAGATAGGTGGGTAGTATACTGGATCAGAAAGTTTTTAAAAAGTAAAGCATGAATGAAAAAGAAATACTAAAGTACGACCTGAAATTGGCTAGCAGCTCGCGGAGCAAATGGACTCGCTAACGTTAATGCTTGTGGGAATGCCGATCCTGTCTATGCAGTTCACTGTTTTTTTTTTTGACGAATGCAGTTCACTGTTCATGTGATCTAGTTTTGTTGACAATCAATGTATTAACTAATACGACACTTATTATACATGAGGATTGAAAGGATCTTCATTTTTCATTTTTCAGTTTGAAGTTTTGTAATGATTTTAATGTTTGGCCACCCTTGTCTAAAAAAAAAAATGATTTTAATGTTTGACTTTGGTAAATGATTTTGAGAAATAAATTTGTCTTTTGGAGTTTGGTTGATGATATGAAATGCTCATGCCTCGTAGAAAGAATTAATGAAAGGCTCATAAATGTGCTTTGGTGCTCAGACTTCATACATTGCAAGTACCTTATTTGAATAACCCTATTTTAGCCGTCAATGTTGAAGTGAACTGGAAACCTCGTTTCAGAGTGAATAATCATAGTTACTCTTTTCAGAGTTGTAACCTTGGTGGGCTAGCTCCATACTATTTGATATGTTCGTTTTTGGAAACTAGGTGATGGAAATTCTGGCTCATACGCTGGAATGTGAATCAAGTCTACACAAAAGGGTGGACCTGTTTTTCCTTGTTGATTCTGTTGCTCAATGTTCTCGAGGCTTGAAAGGTAAAGGTCTCTTGCCTTTCTATTGGATAATAATAATGAATGCAGAGTCTGTATAGTATGCTGATGCTTTACACTACAGGCGATGTTAGTGGTGCATACACTTCTGCTATTAAAGCAATGTTGCCTCGGCTGCTATCTTTTGCTGCTCCTCCCGGAAGTTTGGCTCAAGAAAATAGGAGACAGTGTTTGAAGGCAAGCCAGGAAATCCTAAATGTTTTGTACATACAGCCTAACAGAAAATCCCTTTTGTTGTATTAATCTTTGTTCCCTTTCTTGAATATAGGTTCTGCGGCTTTGGTTGCAAAGAAGAATTCTTCCTGAATCCTTTATCCGGCATCACATTCGGGAGCTAGATTCACGTGGTGCATCAACATCTACTGCTGCATACTCTCGCCGGTCGGCAAGAACAGAAAGGGCTCTGGATGATCCTATTAGAGATATGGAGGGTATGCTTGTGGATGAATATGGAAGGTTTGACCAAAAGTTAATTTTTCTAAATGCTTTTGTGGTCGTGGCACTGAGTTTTTATTGTTGAGAATTTCACTAATATTATTCTTTCTATCCTCAGCAATTCAAGTTTTCAGCTTCCTGGATTTTGTATGCCTCGCATGCTGAAGGAGGAAGATGAAGGAAGTGATTCCGATGGAGGTAGTTTTGAGGCAGTCACTCCCGAACATAATCGTGAAGTCACCCTTGAAGAACGAGAGTTCTCTGGGCCTACTGCTCCTGAAAAGCATACTCATATACTGGAGGATGTGGATGGAGAACTTGAAATGGAGGATGTGGCCCCCACATGTGAAGTGGAAATGAGTTCTTCAACCATAGATGCTCCACACGGCCAGTTTGAACACCATTTCCCTTCTCAATATGCTGCTCCACCATTGCCGCAGGAGATGCCGCCATCATGCCCCCCATTACCATCATCACCACCACCGCCACCTCCCCTGCCGCCGGCTATTGGCCATCAATCCTGTGGAAAACGTGATTCCCATGTCAGTAATAGTCTTGATGCAAGGCATTACAGGAATGCAAAATGCCATCCATCTGAATGTGGTAGAGATCAGGCAGACATGCAGTTTGATGACAATTGCAATACTCCTGGGCGTGGGATGAACAATGGGCACCATGTAGATGGACCTAGCTATCGCCACAAGTCCCATCTTCCAAGGCCACCACCTCATCTTCCGCCGAACCATTACTCTTACGTGCATGGAGGTGGCCAACATATAAAATCCAGGAGGGACTCGCCCCCACCACCCCCACACCCATCGTACTCCTCACATAGATACCACTCGTCACATGCTAGTGAAAATGGCAACTTTTATAATAATAATGACAGAATGAGACCTGTCCCGTATGAGTTTGATGAGAACTGGAGATATGGTGCACCCCCTTACCCTGGTAGGCTACTGCTGCCTTTCTCTTTTGTTTCATTTCCTCATTTACTTGCCCCCTTCTCTAGATGAGTTAGTTTTGACTCTGTTAGTTTTGTTTACACTAGGTCCTCGATATCCTGAAAAATCCAGATCATCGTATGAGCCTGCTCCTTATGCAAGGCCCTCTCGCGAACCCAGGTTAGGCCATCATCAAGGATGGCAATATCCTCCTAGGGGCGTGCATCATAGGGAATTCATGCATTCTGATGGTCCAGTTTCAGTGACAAGCAGAGGTATGTCTCTTCATGACTCAAACAATAAACCAAACCGCAGATTAGCGTTTTTGGTGCGTTTGTTTAAACTCGAAATCAACCCTTGTCGACCAATAGCGAAGTTACTAATGTCAAGGTCTCACATTCAATTTCAGGTACAAACATGTGGCGGCACAGATAAGCAAAATATTGGCACGGCTTGTGTTGTTATACAATCATGGTTGTGCACTTTTGTCTGAGTGGTAATAAGGCAATAGAATGCTGGCCTACATATGGTTTCGGTGCTGTAGTCTGATCTAGGCACTTCACTGCAAAGTAGGGATGCTGGTGACTTGTTGTATAGCATATCTGAGACACAATGGTATAAGGGTGTGACACTTCAAGGCGGCTGGTGATGGTGGTCAACTGTGGATTCCTTCTGTATATATGTAAACCATTAGCAATGCTTCTGCAAAATGCCAGAAATGTGGCCCAAGCCAAACCATAGCTCTCTGGGCTCTGGCTTCAAGAGTAAGAGGTGTAAACCTTATGTATGCTGCCGCTCTGTGTATCATTTTAGATTTTACTAAATTTTCTTCGTGTAATTGTTTTCTTCCCTCGGGAGGCAACCTAGGAATTTTTGGTTTCGTCCATTGAAAGGTGAAGACTGAAGAGTCAAAGTGTATTAAATAATCACTGAAAACAATCGGGAGGGTACTTCTATTAGTTAGCTACCGATGGTGGCTTTGGTCCAAGAAATTCGTTTTTAATTATGTAGAACCAGGCAAGATGGTGTTTTGCACTCTTGGCTAGTTGCTATTGTAAATGTAATGCGGAACCTGAGTCTTGTATTGTTGAGAGACATATTTATACAGCAATGAGATGTAACAATGCTTAGTTATTTCTAAGGGTTGTGGGTGAAACCACTTGCTAAGAATATAGAACAGAAAGATAACAGAATGTTGAAAGAGTCAGCTGAGCTAAGTACACGTTCTATCATGCTCCCGCAAGTGAAACCTCGAAGAGGTGAAACTTGAAACAAAATTGTGAAAATGGGGTCGAGCCAATGATTCGGCGAGGACGTGTGGGTAGTGCTGGTAGGTAATGAACTCGGTCTGGGCGATCCCTCGACACTGGAAGAGTCCGTGGCATCCCGGTTGGTCACTGATATTCTGGCGACTTGATTGGGCTTCATCGTCTGTTGAAAAAGGAGGACGGACGAGCTTGGTATGATTCCATACTCACGGTCACGGAATTGAACCGGCGCTATGGAATGAACATTGTCGGCGTAGGTATCCATTGTTGTCAATTTTTTGGTGTAGGTGATTCTCTAGTTACAGTAGCTTGATATGGGAGAAGGGGAATGGACTAGAAATCAAAAGTCAAAGAAGGGAGCTTGATATGGGTGAAGGGATTTGTTAGAAACCGATTTCTGCACGGTTTCTCTATTTATTAATATAATAATTATTAGGGTAATTATCAATAAGGTTAGTAGTCATTTAATAGAATTAGGTTTATTATTAGGGTTTCCTAGAATTCCCTATAAATATGTACTTTACATATTCATTCGGTACCAATAAGAAGCATATTAAGAAAATCCCTAAACCCTATTCTCTCCCAAATCCTCTCAATTTCTCTTCTGTCCCTAATCCGGCCTCCGGCCATTCTTTCTCGTTCTTCCCCAAATTCTACTTCTTAATCCCAAATTCTCTTCTTAAATCCCTAAATCCCCAATTATCGAACCCGTTAGAAACTTTGTTTCTAACATCTGGTATCAGAGCCCGGTTCCGAAAGGCGAGTTCTTCATAACTCTCTTAGGGACAACTTCCTACCAGGTGGATTACCAATGAGATCAACCAACATATCAGAGCTGTCGTGGGCTCAAAAGCAGGAAAAACTATGGAATATCGTGGAGTATTGGAAGGGCTACGCGTTGCGTCGTGGGACGACAGACTTGAAGGACGGAGGTGACGACGTTACGGCGAGACAGCCACCGGCCGCAGGGGCTGGCCGGGCCGATGAAGATTCGACTGAGACGAGAGTCGCGGCGAATGACGACGTCGAGGAGACTGAAGCGACAAGCAACGCGGAGGAGGAAGAGCAGCTGGTGGTGAAGGAGATCAAGACCGCAACCACCATACCCATCACGGTGACGGAACCGCTGCATCCCCAGGGATCTCCACTAGCCCCAGTGGTCCCGCCATCACCGTCATTGGCCTCTGCGCCATCCTGTGAAGCCGCAAACACCAAAGTGCCGCCACCATCTGCTGTTGATGTTGTTATTCCAACAACAACCACAGCTAGCGCAGTACGGGAAGTTGTACTGGAGTCAAGTCCGCCATCATCACCCACAGCCGATGCAGCACCAAAGATCACAATTCCCTCGGTCAGGACGGAAGAGACGAGCATTGAGAAGTCTGCATCAGATCTGAAATGGGAGGAGTTAAATCCCAGAACAACCCCAATCGTATTGAAAATTCCAATCAAGGGTTGGAAATTCAAGAAGAAGAGACAAAGGCGGGAGCTGCTGAAGGAGGTAACGCTAGAGCAGAATTGCAGGGATCCTTCGCTCATGATTGCAGAGGCGATCAACAACCGCGAGATCCGCTCGATGTGGGCTGAGCTCAACACCAGCAACAATCGACGAAGAGAAGCAGCAGGGGAGCAAGCTCGCCGGGTCATCGTCAGCCGCGCGAATTGCGATAACGGCGCAGCGAGCAACTCTCTTCGAGGCGACGTCGAGCGAGAAGCTGGGGCCGAAGTCGACCGTCGCGAGAGCCTCCTCCTGATGAGTTTCTTGGCGCCGCAGGAGCAGACGGCGATGATGGATCGCAGGGGTGACTCGCTGACAGCTCTGGTCACGGCAACGAGGTCCAGGAGGGCGAAATCCGGGACTAGCACGGCGGGGATGATCATGCGGCTGCTGGCGGCATCGGATTTCGCGTCGCACGGCGGGGAGAGGCAACCTCGAAGGCCGGAAGCCGGTTCGACTCCTCACCGCTGGCTGAGATACTTGCCGCCGGGAATGATGTCGGAGATGGGGTCGATGGGCGAGGAGAGGAAAGAGGGTGGCAACGTTCGTCTCCTCACAAGCCCTAATTCGCTAGTCGATTGGGCCGCAAGCCTTGGTGGCTCGATTCCTGGGCTGAAGAAGGTGGAGATAGGGAGCCCAAACAAGCTAGGAAAGCAGGAGTCAGGGGAGAGCAGGTTAGGTTGCAACAAGGGTTTTGGTGGGCTTGTCCTGGGCAGACCGACCAGCAGAGCGGGCCAAGGTCTGAAGTGCGTGGCTACGGACCAAGCAAAGAAGGAGCAATGAGTTTCACTTCCAATCATGGGCCGCACCTTTGTAAAATAATGGGTCCACTTATGAGTTGTGTTTTTGGATCTATTATTGAGGAAGCGGAAGAAGGGCTTTTAAGATACCATAGCCCAAAAGCAATTGGAGAAACAATGTATGGGCTAGCCACAAGAAAAATGTATGAAGGCCTTGATGAGTTGGTGTTTAAGGATTGATTCTTGAAGAACGGACTGTTGGGTTCCTCGAGTGGCTGGTATGTGATGTCAATAAAAGCGGAGCGATTGAAGTTCGAAATTGTCAAGGAAGCAAGTAGCGGGCTCATAAAAGTGAAATTCGAAGAATTAGATCAAAACAAGCAGGCCAGTGGAAGAAGCCTTATATCGGAGCTGGAGCACGATTGGAAGAAAAGAAAGCGCAAGAAGGATGTGGATTACACGAGGGACGTGGAAGAGTGGGTCAAGTCGGTCAACCTTGAGGGCAAGGTTGGTCTGAAGGGGGAGGAGATGTTAGATACCGATTTCTGCAGGGTTTCTCTATTTATTAATATAATTATTATTAGGGTAATTATCAATAAGGTTAGTAGTCATTTAATAGAATTAGGTTTATTATTAGGGTTTCCTAGAATTCCCTATAAATATGTACTTTACATATTCATTCGGTATCAATAAGAAGCATATTAAGAAAATCCCTAAACCCTATTCTCTCCCAAATCCTCTCAATTTCTCATCTGTCCCTAATCCGGCCGCTGACCATTCTTTCTCGTTCTTCCCCAAATTCTACTTCTTAATCCCAAATTCTCTTCTCAAATCCCTAAATCCCCAATTATCAAACCCGTTAGAAACTTTGTTTCTAACATCTGGTATCAGAGCCCGGTTCCGAAAGGCGAGTGCTTCATAACTCTCTTAGGGACAGCTTCCTACCAGGTGGATTACCAATGAGTTCAACCGACATATCAGAGCTGTCGTGTGCTCAAAAACAGGAAAAACTATGGAATATCATGGAGTATTGGAAGGGTTACGCGTTGCGTCGCGGGACGACAGACTTGAAGGACGAAGGTGACGACGTTACGGTGTGACAGCCACCGGCCGCAGGGGCTGGCCGGGCCGATGAAGATTCGACTGAGACGAGAGTCGCGGTGAATGACGACGTCGAGGAGACTGAAGCGACAAGCAACGCGGAGGAGGAAAAGAAGCTGGTGGTGAAGGAGATCAAGACCGCAACCACCATACCCATCACGGTGACGGAACCACAGCATCCCCAGGGATCTCCACCAGCCCCAGTGGTCCCGCTATCACCGTCGTTGGCCTCTGCGCCATCCTGTGAAGCCGCAACCACCAAAGTGCCGCCACCATCTGCTGTTGCTGTTGTTATTCCAACAACAACCACAGCTAGCGCAGTACGGGAAGTTGCACTGGAGTCAAGTCCGCCATCATCACCCACAGCCGATGCAGCACCAAAGATCACAATTCCCTCGCTCGGGACGGAAGAGACGAGCATTGAGAAGTCTGCATCAGATCTGAAATGGGAGGAGTTAAATCCCAGAACAACCCCAATCCTATTGAAAATTCCAATCAATTGTTGGAAATTCAAGAAGAAGAGACAAAGTTGGGAGCTGCTGAAGGAGGTAACGCTAGAGCAGAATTGCAGGGATCCTTCGCTCATGATTGCAGAGGCGATCAGCAACCGCGAGATCCGCTCGATGTGGGCTGAGCTTAACACCAGAAACAATCGACGAAGAGAAGCAGCAGGGGAGCAAGCTCGCCGGGTCTTCGTCAGCCGCGCGAATTGCGCTAACAGCGCAGCGAGCAACTCTCTTCGAGGCGACGTCGAGCGAGAAGCTGGGGCCGAAGTCGACCGTCGCGAGAGCCTCCTCCGGATGAGTTTCTTGGCGCCGCAGGAGCAGACGGCAATGATGGATCGCCGGGGTGACTCGCCGACAGCTCTGGTCACGGCAACGAGGTCCCGAAGGGTGAAATCCGGGACCAGCGCGGCGGGGATGATCAAGCGGCTGATGGCGGCATCGGATTTCGCGTCGCACGGCGGGGAGAGGCAACCTCGAAGGCCGGAAGCCGGTTCGACTCCTCACCGCTGGCTGAGTTACTTGCCGCCGGGAATGATGTCGGAGATGGGGTCGATGGGCGAGGAGAGGAAAGAGGGTGGCAACGTTCGTCTCCTCACAAGCCCTAATTCGCTAGTCGATTGGGCCGCAAGCCTTGGTGGCTCGATTCATGGGCTGAAGAAGGTGGAGATAGGGAGCCCAAACAAGCTAGGAAAGCAGGAGTCAGGGGAAAGCAGGTCAGGTTGCAACAAGGGTTTTGGCGGGCTTGTCCTGGGCCAGACCGACCAGCAGAGCGGGCCAAGGTCTGAAGTGCGTGGCTACGGGCCAAGCAAATAAGGAGCAATGAGTTTCACTTCCAATCATGGGCCGCACCTTTGGAAAATAATGGGGCCACTTATGAGTTGTGTTTTTGGATCTATTATTGAGGAAGCGGAAGATGGGCTTTTAAGATACCATAGTCCAAAAGCAATTGGAGAAACAATGTATGGGCTAGCCCCAAGAAAAATGTATAAAGGCCTTGATGAGTTGATGTTTAAAGATGGATTCTTGAAGAACGGACTGTTGGGTTCCTTGATAGACC